CACCCTCCGTGCGGTGTGGAGAGGGGGGGCGACACAGGATCAGTTTAACCTAGACGCAGATCCCATCATCTAGTTTGGACCTGCATTTCTAGGGGTAAGAGAGGGGATTACCCGAGGGCAGCGCTGTTCTCCAGGTGGAGGCGGCGGCGGCGGCGGCAGCAGCAGCAGAGGCAGCTGCTGTGGCTGCCTCTCCTGTCTCGGGGGATTTGCAGGTGGCCCCTGGTCACCTGAAAGAGAACACAAAATCCAGCTTCAGAGCCTAGGAGTGAGGTGTAAAGGACCTAGCAGGATCTACAGCGAGGCAGCACCACCCTCTGCTGGCAACAAGTTGCCCCTGCTCTGCCCAGCAGCTCCAACCTTCTCTCTGGGCCTCCCTTCCCTGTCCCCCAGTCTCAGCCCATCTGGGAACGTGGCCTCAAGGACTGTGGCTCACCCTCGGCGTGAGGATGTGCTTGAATAGAACCTAACGGAAAAGGCGTTGCCCTGCTGAAAGCCTACTTCTGGAGTTGGAGTTGGGGCTACAGCTACAAACCACCCCCACCACACAAACTCCACGCAAAGGACACTGTGGCTTAAGGCCAGCCCTGTCTGCATCCTACTTCCTGCGCGAGAGCTGTCTCGGGAGCCAGAGAGGCCTGGGAGCAAGGCTTAGGCCTTACAAGTGACAGGACCGGAGCCCTCCCTCCGTGTCCCCTTCCCGCTCCACACATATCAATCCCACGAGAGTCACCTGAGGGTGCAGGCTCCCTGGGCCTGGCGGCTCCCTGGTTCACGGCCAAGAGCTGTGAGACTCCTGTTACTTGGGGAGCCCTGGTGTTGGGTTCTCCACTGCTGCCATCTCCTCGATGCACGGAGAGGCAAGATGGCCCTGGCTTGCTTGTTGGAAGCTAAAAGAAAACTTTCTGACTTATTTGGGGGGTGAGTGGGAGGGGGGTGCTAGGGGGCTGGGTGAGGCAGGGTATGAACAGGGAAAGGAATCAAGAGGCTAATCTCCTTAGCACTTTCTCCCCCAGGCCAGGAGGCAGAGCTGAGCCAGGGAGGAAAGTGGGGCAACTGAGGAAGCCTGGGTCCCCTACAAGGAAGGTTCAGGGGAAACAGCTAGAAAGGAAGCCAATGGTCTCAACACTGAGGCGCAGTGGCCCAACCTTTACGGGGGTGGCTGATCCAAATCAGCTGCCTGCCCTCCCTTCTTTGCCAGCCCCTCTCTGGGGAGGAGGCCCAAAGCGTGTGCAAAGCATTGAGAATGGTGCCTGGCACGTATCAAGTGCCGTCTCAACGTTTGCCCCTATGAAAATGAGCCCGATTTGGCACACTGATGGCCTCGGCGCCCAGTGACAACTCCGGAACAGAGGACAGAAGGAGCATGTGTGAAGACCTGTGTGTTGGGGATGCGGGAGCGGGAGGCATAGAGGGCGTGGGGAGAGGGGGAGGAAGGCCGACTCACCTGACCCTTTGGGACTGGATCTCTGTTTGGGTCGCTGTCTTCGGCCACCGGACCCAACTCCCTTGTCCTGCCTGCCACAGGTTTCTTCCCAGCATTGGCGAGTTTGGGCTGCCCGGGCCCCGAAGGGACCGAGGAGTACCTCTTGGCTCTCGCAAGCAGTGGAACGCCAGAGATTGGGGGGAAGGTGGCTGGATCCGGGGGGCCTCTGCAGATTCTCTGCCCCCATGAAGGCAAGGCCGGGGGCTTTCTCCCCAGGACAACTTTTGAGGCACAACTTAGGGATTTCTTTTCCTGGGCCACCTTCCTTCTAGGAGTGGCCCGGGGCAAGGCGCCTGCAGCAGCAGCAGCAGCAGCAGCGCCTGGGTAGCTGGGCCTGCCCCCTCTCTTGCCCCAGACCACACTTTGCATTTTCTTGAATGAAGACATGTCAGGCCGCCTTTCTGCGGCTGAAGGGAATCCCCGTGGAGTGGGGGCCCGCAGAGAGCCTGGCACGCGAAGGAAGTTCCCCGAGTCGTGGGGATTTGAGTGCCTGGGTTCGTCCCCAGGATCCTCGAGGCTGCTGGACTTTGCCTGGCCTGCCGCTTTGGGGTAAATGCTCACCCTCATCAGCTGTATCTCACTGAACTCATCCGATGACTCGGGGTCAGAAGACTCCGTCGAGGGCCGCTGGAAATCAACAGTGATATTCAACCTACTTTCAGTGCCTCTTTCAGCGTTTCCCCGGGCCCGGCCTCCCTCGGGCCCACTGAGGGTGAGAGGGGTGGGAGACGCCCGCTGCGATCCTACACAGCTAGGGGCAGGTGCGTGTCTACCCTTGGGGCCTGTGTCTACGTCCGCCCAAATGATAGATACCTGAGCGGAGCTGCTTTCTGGGGATGGGTTTCTCCGGACCCCTAGTGTATCCCAGTCGGTCAAGTGCCGCGCGATGGCCGCAAAATCTTCAGCCTCTTCAAAGTGGGACATGTAGTCCAGAGCATCCTCCTTCTCGTCGGTCGGCGAGCAGGGTCGGCCTTCCCGGCCCCACAGCACGGCCCCTCCCGCTCCCATCACTTCCCTTTCGGCCTCGAAGCCCGCCGGGACAGGGAGCCCGCCCTCGCTCTCGCCGCCGCGCGACGCCCCCCGATCAAGGCCCAGTCCGGGCCCCCGCGGGCCTCCAGGGCCGGCCCGGTGGACGCCGCCCCGCTCCCCTCCCTCTGGGCCGACACCCGCCCCCCAAACAGACGCTTTATCCGGGGAGCTCATGTCGCCGGTGCGGGCAGACGATCGTCCTTGTCGCAGCGGGAGAGCCGGGCCGCGCGAGGCCGAAGCGAGGCCTCCGGAGGGCGCCGGCGACGTCACCACAACGGCCGCACGAGGACGATCGCCACAAACGACGCGCGGCCTCCGCGCCTTCGAAGCCCGCGTCCAGGCGGTCTCACGTGTCCTCTCCCAGCCAACCGGCGGGCGCCTTGTTGGCCCGCCCCTCGAGGCCTTAACCAATAAGGACGAGGGCGTTTGGTTCCCTCGGAAGTGCATCCGGCAGGTCGAAGCCAATCCGGTGGTTAGGCTGGGTTTTCACGGCCCTGGTCCTGCCTCTTCCTGTCTCGCCTCCTCTGGCTGTGACTCTCCCGACGAATGAGGGTCACTTGTCTGAGCCTCGGTTTCCAGTCTGTGGAACCGGGAAATGGCAGGTCCTGTCTCGAGGAGCCATAGGGGGTTAAATGGAACGAAGAACGTGGAGCACCTAGGACAGAAAGTATTCGCAAGCCTGCTTTCCAACACACTACAACCTCATAGGAAAACAGGCAAAGGAAGCCAACCGTTCCTAATCAGGGGTCGGCATACCTTTTCTGGAAAACCCGTTGCCGTCGAGTCGATTCCGACTCACAGCGACCCTATAGGACAGAGTAGAACTGCCCCATAGAGTTTCCAAGGAGCGCCTGGTGGATTCAAACTGCCGACCTTTTGGTTAGCAGCGGTAGGACTTAACCACTACGCCACCAGGGTTCAAAAAACAAAAGCAAACCCACTGAGCCCTCCAGTTGATTCCAACTCATAGCGACCCTATAGGACAGGGTGGAACCGCGCCATAGCGTTTCCAAGGAGCAGCTGGTGGATTCGAACTGCCGACCTGTGGTTAGCAGCCGAATGCTTACAGATAGTAAATATTTTATGATTTGCAGGCCGTTCTGTCTCCGTGACAACTGCTCGGCTCCGCACTTTTGGCGGGAAAGACTGCAGCTACAGACGAGAGGTAAATGAGTCGGCGTGCCTGTGCTCCACTGAAAGTTTACTGGCGGGTCGGTTTTAGCCAGCAGGCCGGAGTTTGCCCTACTGCTCCCCACCCCACCCCCCAACCCCCCCGCCACTGTTAAGTCAAAGGAGAGAGAACCCCAATGGTCAGTGCATACCCCGAAAGATGCTCCCCATCCCCGATCATGGAGATGCAAACTAAAAACCGCAAAAACACTTTTCACACACCAGGCTTGCAACAATTAAAGAGCTTAACGATCCCAAGGGTTGGAGAGGTTTTCAGGAAACCAGTGCATCTGCACACTCCCGGGGAGCGTGTACGTTGGGACAACCATTTGGGAGGGATAATTTGCAGAGTCTATGAGTAGCAAGTTATAGACACTTACTATGGGCCTGGCACTCTTCTCAGCACCGTAGATACAGATGTACTAATCCTCACAAGAATCCTATGATCAAAGTTCCTGCTGTTATCGCCCTCTCGCAGGCGAGGAAAGAGGCACAGAGAGGTTCAGCAACTTGCCCAGGGTCACTCAGCCTGTCAGTATCAGCGACAGGACTGAAACCAGGCAGTCTGGCTCCAGAGTCCATGTTTGACCGGAAACTCTGAAAACTGAAAAATGCCCATCCCCTCTATGACCCAGCAGATCCACTGCTGGGTACATCTGGAGAAACACTGGCACTCCGTGTGCGTAAGGACACATGCACAAGGGTGTTGGCAAGAGGGAAAACTGGGAACAATCCATCAGTGAGGTCGTGGATGAATGCAATGTGGCATATGCATCCAAAACCAAACCCAAACCCACTGCCGTCGAGTGGATTCCGACTCACAGCGACCCTACAGGACAGAGTAGAACTGACCCATGAGGTTTCCAGGGCTGTAAATCTTTACCGAAGCAGACCGCCACATCTTCTTCCCGCCGAGCGAGCGGCTGGCGGGTACGAACCGCCGACCTTTCGGTTAGCAGCCGAGCGTCTAACCACTGCACCAGCAGGGCTCCTTGGCATATGCATCAGTAGATTAACATCTGGCAGTCAAAAGGCACAAACGGGGCTGTGTGAACATAGATTTCTGAAGCACTCTGATGACTGCATAAAGCAAGCTGCAGACCAATGCATAGCCTTGATCACAAACCCCTAAATTTAAAAATGCAACATAATTCTACATGTTGTTTGCGAGTACTTACGTGTGTATTTTTTTTAAAGGTCTGGAAGGACGTGCACCAAATGTCTAACCCTGGTATCGGAGTAGTGGCGGCAGCAATGTGGCACACCAGTTGTTTGCCATGTTTTTCCCTGACACTACTGCTTCGCAGCTTTACTGAGCGGGGAGCATCCTTGATATCTAGGGAGTGGTCCCTTCCTGGGTTTCTAGAAGGCCCTCGAGTGTAAGAATTTCCCGTGCTTCTACCCAACCCCTATTGCAACAGGCTTCCATCCCTTACCTACCTCCCCTCCTCCCTTTCCCACTCATACTCATCTGTCTTTCTGTTGCCCCCTCTGTCTTTCTGTTTCTCCCTCTCTCTCTCTGTCTCTGTCTGTCTCTCTCTAGAACGTCCTATTCTGGCTGATTTCCAGTAGAGGCCTCGAGTGTATGAACACATTTTGCCTGCAGGAACTCAAAGGCAGATTTTTCTGAGCCTTCACCTGAGAAGCCTACACTGCTGGAGAAGGCTACAGAGCAGGGCAGACTGGCTCTACTGTAAACCTGTGATCACTGCTGTCAAGCTGTCCCTCCACTCTCCCTGCCTGTGTCTGGCTAAGTCCCTCTCCCACTCCCCACGATGACTCTTAAAGAAAGGGTGTCCTATTTCAGACACACCAAAAGGAATAACTAAGGAAACAGCAAAGTCTACTGTACCCACCACCCGCCTCCAGGCACATTTATCAAGTGATTGAGTTGCAGCCTCTGGTGCAACTCTTGCCAATTCCATTCCC